TCCTTACACACGGACTCCTTGCTACCGGGAGAAGCCCCCGCCGCTGCCGCAGCCGCCGCCGCAGCCGCCGCCGGCATCACGCGCACGCCGCCGTCGGCGTGCTGGTATGTGCCCTGACTCGACGCCTCGTGTTTCACCTTCGACGACTGGATGACGTGAGGCGACGGCATGCCAACGGGACTGTTCACCGCTTGAGCTGTCGTAAAAAAACAAGTGAGCGTTACGACCCGGCGCCCCTCGCCCGCACGCGCGCGTCCCACCGAGCTAACAAGCAGCGAAACGTACACGCGATGCGGAATGGAAAGCACAAGCGGCAAAAACCGAGGAATGTAACATGGCAGCACAGCTAAGATGGCTTTGAACAGAAGAGAAAAAGTTGGTACAACGATCTCTCGAAGCATTGAAAACTCGTGGTAGAATAGGTGGCGAGATGTAAGGAAAAGCCACCGGCTGAACAAACAGAGACCATTTAGCAACCTCTGCAATCTCTGGGAACAGTGAAGGTTGAGAGGTCCTCTCTCAAAACGCTAGTCACATTTTACTAACATAACCTTTTCACTCTATATGCACCAACTATGAACACATGAACACGACACACACGTACATGACAACTGCTAATTGACCTATTCGCATGAAGTACGAGACAGATAGCCCTAAACCAACCGTTGCGGCAAAAGAGGCATCACTTTGTAGAAAAAATCTGGTGCACAGTCAATAGTTTGGCGTGCACATGCGAAAAACACGTGCAAACTGGCAGAACTCTGCCGACCCTATTCAAGGAGGTTCACGGTCAACAATATCCAAGATCAATTACTACGGCCATGATTAACAGGTTGTGCATGTACCGTGTTGTTCCGTCGTGTCGCTGTGCGAGCTCACGCGTAATTACACATACACCCTGGCAGACACGACGATGCCTCGTAACCGCCGCACCGCGCAGCGCCGCGCCACCCATACCGCGCTGCCGTATGTATGTCTGTGCCGCCCGTACCGTGTTGTTCCGTCGTGTCGCTGTGCCAGCTAGAGTGGCTCACGTTGCTACCGGGCGAGCGACCGTAGTACGTCTGCGCGGCGTCGTCGTCGTCGCCGACGCTGCGAATCTCGTCGTCGACGGACGACATGGAGCCGACGGTCGTGGTTCGTCGACGCTTGGCCGGCGGACTCGCGTGGTGAGACGAGCGATGATGATGCATCGTACCTGCGCAAAGATGCAGATCAATGGTAAGACGTCGAGTCAGCCCCCGGCAATGTCAGCTACTGCCTGTGCCTACACACCACCCCTCACCCCGGCAATATCAGCTACTGCCTGTGCCTACGTAGGTGATGTTTTTGCATTACAAGCACAGAAGTATTTTAATTAAGTGTGTTAATAACTTCTCAACATTACTGAACATTTTTAGTATCTCAACTCACTTTTATGCCTCACATGCTGTTCGATTATCGTCAAAAATCAATTCTCAACATTCCACCATCTCCATTCTTTTCAGTGACCCACTTATTAAACTGCGAAGTCTACACAAAGGTTACTGTAACCGGATCTAGTGACCCATCCCCTTTATCAATATAAACAAGTTGTGAGACAATGTATGCCTAGAAGACCAACGCCATGATTTCAACAGCATTCAATCTACACCGGGCATAGTCGATGCACTATTCAATGCATCAAATACACCAGAAACGGAACCAAACATATCGAGAATATTTGTGACCTCTGCACTGGCAGTCATGATGCCCTAGTTTAGAGATATGATATTATAGGCAGGTTCAACTAAAACAAAAGCAAATATAGCAATCAGTTGCCAGCTGATGCAGATGGAGGAATAGACGAATAGATTTCGTATTTAGATTTCCGCAATAACGTACGACTCACGCACGAGTTACACATAGCGAAGACTGTTACTATGTACTGAACAGATGCAGCATCAATCAGTTAGCAACGCAAAACTCTGATGGCAAGAGAACTGTTAAAACTCATGTGCAGCACGGCAAAGCTTGCATGAGATGTATGGTATGATGCGTCAGCCGCACGTGACTAGTAGAGTGACATGTTAAGCTTCAGGGTTCTGCCCAGAATTTTTTAGTGCCGGGCGCATCCAGTTGCGATGAAGTCGCAAGATGCGAGCGCCGTAGGCGCGAAGCCAATCTAGCGGGGTCCGGGGACATGCCCCCCCTGAAAATTTTTGATTTTTGATAGTCTGAAACTCAATTTCCTGCATTCTGAGCAATAAAAAGCCCATATATCACTTTTTTATTTTTTTATTTTTTAATATCAAAAATTAGTGCCGGGCGGAGATCTATAGTGCCGGGCGGCAACCGCGAGTGCCGGGCACAACCGCCCACCGCCGCCCGCCGTGGGCAGAACCCTGAAGCTTGTGACTGTGAGACAGTGATGAGATACGAATGCCTGTGTGCTGTGCATGCTGCCGCGTGTGCTGTAGCGATCAGCGGAATCACGATACTACCGGAGACACTCACAGAGTCATCACTGACGTAGACTACATGAGCTAACACGTGAAAGGAGCTTTACGTGTGACAATATTATAACTGGGAATTCTCCAGCTATGCCATCTCATTGGGCATCCAGTATGATATGTCCTATTTCGATACATTATGAAATTACCGTCAGCAGAACAGGTGAAAATTATTCCAGGTTTCAAGAAGGTCCTACCGTCAAATCCTCAAGAAAATCAAGCTGGGAAAATATATGATTACCCTTTAGGGACATTCACCCGTTAAGAGACGATTCCTAGCATCATAATGTTCTTCTCATCTCAACAGGCAGAATTTAAGCATTGATAATGACTCCCTTGGAATAGGTTCATTTCATTGGATTTCCGTTCTACATTTGCTCACCCAGGAGTGTATGTAAGCTATGTGTACAAAGCCATGACAACCGCACTGGCATTGAGATTAGCACACAAGCACACCGCTTACACTGCTGGCAGAAAAAGTTTTACCTACACTGAACACGTCTATGTCGATAAATTGGATACTCCAAAGTTTCAGCATTGCTTGTTAGCAACTGTCCTTGCTCAATATCAACTACAAAGTAATGAGAATGATAAAATTAAAGGATGAAAAAGAAAGGGGTGGAATTCTGATAGACTTCAAGTATCACAGTTCATGCATTTTGTTGGCATAATTGTTAATGAAATGAAGCCGTGTGCAATGAAATTGATAAATTTTCAAGACATAAATCAGCTAGGGGACACATAATAATGCATACAATAAAGCCAGTGTAGGCATTATCATTGTATATTCTATTAAATAAGGTGAGATAGGGAAAGAACTTCATGACTGCTGTCATACCCTGCTATCCCATTTTCGCAGATTTTCCACATCAAGTAATAGACCGACTCCATAACAATTAATGCACGCGTACGCTAAAAACCGGATCAAACCATTTTATTATCTCAAAACGCATGATAGTCATGCTCTACGTTGATGAGGGTAGGGTGCCTTCCACAATTTCACTGGTCGGAGGAACAAAGTTTCCGCACGCACATCGATAAACCGCGTCGTGACTGGGTGCTTATCTGGTCTCACTTCTAGCGTTACACGTACGCGTGCATCAGTCGCTCGTGGCAATGGCGTAGCCAGGATTTGGATTGGGGGGGGGTCCTCGAGCGAGTAACAAGGGGGGTCTGGTGGTCTGGAATTTTTTTTTTTAGTTAAATGTAAAAATAGTGCTTTAAAATCAATTTAGATGCTGTTTTTTTAAATTTCTTTAACGAGGCCAGGATTAGGGCAGCTACGCGCTTTTAAGAGAAAAAGAAAATAAAGAATTTTTTTTTTTTGATTTCGATTTTGATTGGGGGCCCTAGGGCCCCCCCCACCCTGGCTACGCGCTTGGTAAGTAGTAAGGCTAACATGTCTTAGAACACTCACATCGATAAACCGCGTCGTGATTTAAAATCAATTTAGACTCTGTTTTGTTTAATTTCTTTAACGAGGCCAGGATTAGGCCAGCTACGCGCTTTTAAGAGAAAAAGAAAATCGAGATTTTTTTCATTTTTTCATTTTTATTTTGATTGGGGGGTCCTAGGGCCCCCA